CTCCTCATACATCTATGTAAAATACTCCAACTGAACCTAGGCTTCAGACTCTTTTCTTCAATAAGATTTACTCTAAAGTGGTGAAATCTTGGTGCAAACCACATCTCAAAAAACTGTGGGCACTTCAGGTGAAAAATACTAGAGTTAGTGAAAGTCCTAGATGAGTTACTAAAAGCACTATAAAAGCTCTGGATGGGCACAAAATTGTGTTCCACTGCATCCTGCAATACAAGAACTCAGTGCACTGAGAAAAACAGTAGTTAAAAACGCATGAAAAAAATGTAGTTCTGTAAAACAGCAAGTGGGGAACTCCTGGAACTTGCTTTTCTGGAAGGCCGCAGGGCAGGCAGCCTAATGAAGTTCAAAAAGCGATTAGACAAGTTTATGAACAACAGATCCACAGTGGATACTAAAAGGGATTGGCAATAGCATAAATGCCCTTATCTGAGCAGCTGTGGGTGATGGGGACATATTGAGGGACTTGCTAAAGACATCAGCTTGTGTGCTCACCTTGAGCTGCATCTTTCCAGCAGCCACTGCTGAAGGTGGGCCCTGCAGGACATTTCTTAGCACCTTTTGGTCTCACATCACTGGCCTCACCTGGAGCTAAGGAGGGAGCCTGCACTGACAACGCTCTAGTAACATACAGGGCACAGATAAAGAAAAAGAAAAGTTGACCTGTCTCAGCTACAGAATTAAGTCTAAACTAAGAAATTATGATGTGTTCCCTGCTGTGAGGCAGAACTACATCTTTCCCTCCAATAGAGAGTTACAAAATGCAGTGATTAGTGATTCACCAGTGAGGGCAACCAGCTGCCTGGCATAAGGGGTCAGACTGTGGGACACACCTGGTGCAGCTTGGCACTCAAATATGGGACTAGCTGGGAACCAAAGAGGAGGAGAGGAGCTGGAAACCTGGGTGTAAGTCATATAACAGTGAGACTTGACAGACCATAAGTTCAGGGAAGAGCTGTGTAGTTTAGGATGGAAGTAGTTTAGGATCAATGTTTGAAATTAAAGCTTAAGGTGACATAGTATAGGAATTCTACTGGAAAGAGAAAAATAAGGAAAAAGTCAGGAAAACCCCACCACCTACAGACATTTCTATTTCTTTGATTTTTCTGTTGGACTGATCTTTTCTCAGTCTCTGCCTACACAAATGTGCTATGAACTTGACAGACTGTCAGCCAAGTATTGTAAAGCAAGCTATGCTGCCACTGATAGAGCCATCACTGTGCTAAGTCCTCGATAAGGTGGATGTGAGGAAGCTTCCCAAGTGACAAGCATTTGAGTCCACCCACTGCTTCTAGAAAACTCAGTAAAATTCAGTCAAGAGCTGGGGGGCTGTACAGTTAATGTTTTCATACCTTTAAACATCTTGTGTGTTAGTAGCTTAATTAAACACACATCTGCTCACATGTGGCTGTCCTTGTACACGTGCTCCTTCCTTAGGTATTCCCTGAAATGCTCCATGAAGAAAGGAAGTCAAAGCCCTGGGGGGGGCTACATTTCTTTTCATATTTTCAGAATACATAAAACACATTTAGAGGCAGCTCAAGCTTCCTGCCCACCCCACTCCTGTCCTGTTTGCCTGACCTGGTCTTACTTGTAAGGGTAAGTCTGCAATCTTTCTCTAAAAGTGGATTACTTCCCTAATTAATGTCCACTATCAGATTGGCTCTGATTATGTTAGTGTTTCTCCAACAGGTCTGGAAAATCACAGGAGACTTGTGATTTCTGGTCATACAAGTTTCCTTTGCCATCTCCTTAAGAAAGCCAGCTATGCCTTGATGAGCAGACATCTATTGCAGCCTTCACAAACCTCCTGAAAATCTGTCTGATGGCAGAGACGTACAAAACTACAGTTTAGGGCAATTTAATTTTTGCTTTCAAAGACACGCTTGCAGCTAAGCTGCAGTATGACAGGGAGAACCGATAAGGCTGTTCCAGACAGCAGGAGGTGGAGATGAGTAAACTCCTCTGCCAACTGCCAGATTGCATGTCTGACACATTGCAGATGCAAATCCAAGAAACTCGAGGGGGATACCACGCTCAGTCACACCCGCTGAGGATGCGCCTGTGTCTTCAGGGCAGGAGGGATCAGCAAAAGAAGAAAGAGAAATTCCTTGATATAAACTGGAACAATTTAAGCAAGCCAGAAGCCTCCCTGGGCTTCTCTCTGAGGTAGCCCAGAATGCCTTGCCTGTCCCATTTGCCCCATGTCAAAGCTGTGAAAGCCAAAATTGCTATGTAACAACATACATCTTTGCACTGTGATGCAAAAGGAAAGGGAAATGTTGTTATTGCTTCTCTGTGAAACATGATAGTATTTAGATCCTGAAGACAAGGATTTGGTGTGTTGGTGCTACCAGCTGTCATATCCAAATCATGAGTTCCATGCCCTTGCAGGAAGGAAAAAAAAAGAAAAGGAAAAAAAAAAAAAAGAAAAAAAAAAAGAAAAAAAAAAAAAAGAGCAAAGCCCAGAATGAAAGTACGCTCAGCAATGGATTGGATTGGATTTCTTTGGAAATTATTTGGATTGGATTAACCCTTTGGAAGAGGAACTTTTATAACTTTGTCAAGATTAGATATACCTCTGGGAGATGCCCTTCCATCAGGCATTCACCACTGGGCTCAGTCCAGAGATAATATTGAGTGGAGGCATTCAGCAAGCTGGATTAGGTCAGGTAACATTTCCTGCTGGCCTACAGATGCAGTACTGTCATTAATACATGGGCATTGCATATTGAATTCTGCAGTCAGATCTGAAGTGTTGCACACTAACAGCAATCACACATTAAGATACCCTGACAACACAGAGAGAACACAGTGCTTCAGGCTAGGTCAAACAAAGAAACAAAACCCAAGAGTTTTGATCTTTGTTCTGTTTCTCTGGCCCCAAATCTGGCAAACACAACACAGGTGAGAACCTTCTGCAGCAGGTCCAGCAAAATACCCTGAGGTCACTCACACTTGTAGCTCATCTTCAAGTTTAGGAGTGGAAATTCCTTAAGTTTTAGGACTCTTCAAGACACCTATAGTGTTCACCACTACGTGGTCTCTAGTAATACAGCAACACTTCACTACAAAATTAATATAAATTAATAGAGATTGGGGAAAATAATGCTTTTCTACAAAAATATTTAATACTCAGTTAATAACAAATTACCCTTATCTTGTCATTTCAAGAACTGAAATGCTATTTTTGAGCATGTTTCACATCTTGCCAAATTTAAAGCCTTACACCACGGAGAAAGCTCAGGATGAAAAACAGAAAATTTGAAAGTGTAATTAAAAAGTATACTAAAGGAAGAAAAAATGAGGGGAAAGATGATGGCATCTAACACATGCACAGCACTAGATTGCAAGTTTTTTTTTTCAGCTGGAACTGCAGAGAAGACTAAATGAGTTGTGCAATTCTTGTGTGGTCAGCTGTCAGGACCACAGTGGCACTGCACCAGCTGTGAGAGCACAAGCCAGACTGCTGGACACCATCCCCACATCCCCCTTGAGCAATCAGCCACAGCTTTGCTCCTGGACAAGCAGAGGATGAGCTGCCTGTCAGGAGCCCTCTAAGCCAGTCTGCCTGTTGTTTGATAGCTTTAGCCCTGAAGAGGCACAGTTTACACACTGTCAATTTGCACAAGATTATCTTTACTTTTTTTTTTTCCCCAAAAAGTTTTGGTTCTCAGGAAGTGCCCCCAGCTTTAGAGAGGTCCCACATATGAGAGGCATCTCAAAACCCATTCATAGTGTACAGTCCTGGATATACATGACCAAGTGCCTCACAGAAATGTGCAAAAATAAACACATACAGACCTGCTATAATATTGTGGCATTCATCCTTGAAACAACATTCTGAAAATAGCCTCTGTGGGGTTTTATCTTTTAGCCATATCAACTGTGTTATGGGACACAGAAGCCAGCAACACTGAAAGCACTTGTAAGACACCAAATCCACTTCTTTATGAGCAGTTATGCCCACAATTTGTTTTCCCTTTGTGGTCTACCCTGGATGCTGATATAAACATTTCATTCTTTAAAAAAAGATTAGCAATACAAGTAATTCTTGGCTGGTAAATCTGATGATAACAAAAGACATAATTCACAGCTTTTAAAAATAAACTGACTGTAAGGCATCTGATTACTGGATCCATAAAAATTCAGTGTTAGAGTAACTTTGCTGGAACCAGGAGGGTTCTGACACATCTCATTAGGCAATATGTTTTTAAGACAATAGGAATTCCTACTGCAAACTTCCCTCCAGGCTTTCCATGGTCTTTTCTCTAAACTACAAACAAATTTAAGAGCTGCTAATAATCAAATAATCACCAGGACAACACAGTCATTACAATAAGCAGAGGAGACTTTGAAGTCATTCAGAAGTCTGCCCTTATTGTCATTCATCTCTCCAGCTAAGCAAACATAAAATGGGCTCAAGACAGAGTTGACTGGAAGCCAGACATCCTGAGTAGCCACTGGAAATTTGGTGCTGCAGAGAAACACAAACTGATGCTTCCTTTTTTCTGTTACATTAAGACAAGTGAAAAATATATTCCTTCTATTGCAAAGGGAAAGTTAGTTTTGCCCCAGGAACTGTATCACCAAGCACTTTGAACATCATATTCAGGGCTGTGGTCTCAGAAGAGGTTTCACCCCTCCCCTACATAACATTATGAGTCTGGAGCAATAGATGCTTTTTATCTACAATATACAGGTAAAAACTGTAAATGAATAAACACATCCATTTGCCATCAGCTAAATGCATTTGTCATTTCTAGGTGGCACTTCCCATCATAGTTTTCAGAGTCTGGGCATGCACGAACTGCACAGCAGAATCCAAAACGCTAAAAGGTTTTTCGCTCTAGTCCATATTGCTACTATTATTTGGGGGTTTTTATTGGTTTGGTTTTTTTTTTCTCCTTAGTTGCAGCATGGCCTCTACCTGCTGTCCAACCAATAGAAGTTGAGAAGGAAAGGTTTGGGCTGGTGGCACTTACTGGGGGTGTTGAGGAGCCGTGACCTCCTGCAGTGGTAGGCGACCTCCTGCTCGCAGTTCTCAGCACTGCTGATCACAGCCTCCAGCTGCTCTGCACTGCTGCTGTAGTTGAGGGACATGGTGTAGGGCTTCTCTGGACCAGCTCCTTGCACTCTGGTCAGCCCCGTGCTGTTGTGCTGCACTTCAGTCCAGATCTTATCTTCTGTTAAATGAAAAACGATTGAACGGGAGGTTAACAGCAAAACACTTCCAACAAGCAGGGAACAGAAAAACAACTGAAATGTAACATTTTACTGCAGTGGACAGACCATCAGCAGGACCCTGGGCTCCAACATAGGCACTTTGTGATGAACACCAACCAGGTCTGTCTTCATGAAAGGTCAGTGTGGCCCACAAAGATGTTTCTCCCTGAACCAGCTCAAGCAAACACTACACTGCCTGCTGAGCAAGACAGGAACTACAGAAGCACAGGAGACCTTCAGCTTCTTCTATTACCAGGTATCTGTAAAAAATTAGATACCTTTCAACTGGCTTTGTCCCTAAGAGAAAACACAGAGTAATATGGCTCATGGGGGTAACATTCACTTTTTGCGTGAGAGCACAGCCCATGCTGCTGTAACAACAAATGGAAGCACAGAACTGCAGCTGATGAGCTTGCACAAACTCACCATGAGCAGAAAGCACAACCTCTTGCCAGAAAGTTAAACTGAGAGTATGTTCTTACCACCCAGCTGGAAGTCAGATCACTCATTTCACTCAGTTCTCAGATTTTTCTGCATATAAGTTGAGTGATGCCCTACTTGGATGATGCTACAGAATGCCATATGACTTGGCATCTGTAGTTAACTCTAAATATTGATGCTTTTCCATGCTGAGGAGCCCATTCTCCTTTACTTTATTGCATTTACTGGCAGAGAAAGGGATTGTGTAGGTGACAGAAAGCAGAATCTAGGCTTAAGCACAACCTGCACCCTACACCCCAGCTCACGATCAGCATTGGGGTTGGCATAATGAGAACGCCACACTTAGAAGCAATTAGCTTCCAGGGAGGCCTTTTCCCAGTTGGTTCTGGTATAGCAATGGGCAAGGCAGAAAGGCCAGTTTGCTGAGCTGACACAGAGTTAAAGACAAACTCTTCAAGGAGGATTCACAGGACTGAGCCCAGCACATGGCCAACACTATTAGTAAAAGTCACAACCAGCAAATTCCCTCTTTATCAAAGACCCTGCTTGCCTAGGGAGGATACAAGATACTGACAGGGCAAAAATTTAAGGCAGCAATTTCCAATCATTTGATGAGAAGGAGATTTCAATCTCACCTGCAGAAACACGCAGACAGTTACAGAGGAAGAAGTGAGATCTAGGCAATAGATTTCTCTTTTGTTATTTATGCTTCATCAGGAAAACCCTAGATAACAATGAATCATATGTTTTCTAAGCTGATCTTAAAAACTGTGCATTTAGGGATTCAGATGGTTTTACCACATTTCCTGGCCTGCGTTCTTGCAGAGTCTGATCTTTCCAATACACTGGCATGATGAGCCCAGCAGCTCTGTGGACACTACAATGCATTGCAGTCAAAATATTTTTCATTGAGCTACATATATGCCCCAGATTACTTCAACAGAATGCTAATAAGTGTATAAAAATTCTAATAGGTGTATGAATGGACTATCTGTGCAAAGACACAGATAATTTGATGGACTGTCATTATGGAGGCATTCAAATGACAGGGAAGTAACAACCACCATCTGGAGACTATCTAAAGAGGTCTGTTCCAAGACCTGGCTGCAGGTGACAGAGAAATTAACCTGCATTAACTGTAAGGACAGTTTACACAGAAACCACACATTCACTCCCAACCCTCTCATCATTTCTGTGATGTACACAGAAAGTTTGTTCATAGGTCTGCAATTCTGTGGTTCCTACTGACTTCAGGGAGCTGCTTGTGGTCCCTTGGAGTTGGAGCTCAAAGAAACATTGCTGCAACGTGCGATACACGAAAGTCAGATTAAAATGATAAGAAATACTACAAATTTATTGCTTGTAATACTTGTCCCAGTGGCTGTAATCACAGTGAACACTGCAGCACAATACCCTGCACAGTCCTGCACATATATTGCTTAGAACACAATATACTTCAATGACTTTGTAACAGACATCTTGTACATCTAAAAATAGCGATCCTTATCAGCCAGTCCCTCTGTTTTCTTTTGCTCTCTCAAGGCAATATTGACAAGAACAGAGTGGATTTTTCAGAAGCTGTCGAGGGTGAGTTAACTTTCCTCTCACAAAAGCTGACAGAACTTCTGCCTTAACTGAAATACCTACTAAAAAGACAAACACTGAGTTGCTGATAATGTGAGACATAAAACCAGGAGATGATGGAATATACTGGTTGCTGAAATTCCAGGTGGGCTGTGAAAAGCACTCCCCACTGAGAGTTCTGAACATAATTTTAAGAAAATGCAATAAAATCAATGCTCACAACAGTGGCTCCAGTGCTGCTCAGGAAGTAGAGCAGCCTAATGCTCTTGTTGTACAGTGCTTAACACTGCTGTACTTTCCAGGCTGCGCAGCAAGACAGGGGCCATGTGGGTACCTGAAAAGTCAAAAGCATCACGAGCTAGCAATTCAGAAGCAAAGAAAGAATACTAGGAAAAGCTGATTAAAAATAGCATAGCACAAAACTGTCTTCCCCAAAAAAAGTGTTGGAAATACAATTAATTGACAAGTTCGAAATGAGGTTGGACAAGGTATCAGCAAATATACTGTAAGCAGCCAGCACTCATTAACAGGAGTGCTGGACATGAAATGTGACAGGTCTTCCTCTTATCTTCCTCTATGATTTTTCATTAATTTTCAGCAGTCTTTTTATCATTACAGCTGCACACACCTGTCCCAATATCTGAACTTTGACATTCTAGACCTGCTTTTCTCCATGGGATCATTTAGAAATAAGTTGACCTATTTTCCCTCCTCTAGTTTACAAATGGAAAGGAAAAACAAATCAAATTTCTTTCTGTATTCAAAGTAAATGTGATTTAGCAAGTACATCATTTAAAGGAGTTTAAAAAGTTCCACAGAAGAGAAGAATTTTGAAGTTACATTTCAGAGATTTCCTAATCTACACATGCCTAGTCTTTTAGGCTTAATAGTTCTACAGATCAGATCTATGCTTTAGTGGTCACTTCAAAGTTTCCCTCCGTGCTTCACCTTCGAAGTAAAGGTGTCCATCAGTTCAGCTTCTCAAGAAAAAAATAAAAAAAAAAAAAATCTGTGTTTTTCTTGTTGATCTAGCGACAGGAGAGTCACAGCCACCAGCAAGCAAACCTCAGATCAGAAGGGCAGCTCAACACAACACAGATAGAGCTGGTGGCAACAAAGTAAGAGGAAGAAAAGGAAGACAAATCTATTCCACCATCTCAGTCACACTTCTTCCCCCTTCCCAGGGAAAGAGTAAGTACTTCCATTTTAGAAAGCAGCATGCGAGGTGCAGAGTGGCGAGGAAATGCATACAAACTCAAACACAACCTGCTACAAGAATAAAGGATTACATTCACATCACAGTAAAAAAACCTCTAAAAACAAACTTCCTCCTTTAAAAGGACACCCTTTTGTTTAAATGCAAGCAAGTAAGACTGAAAATTATTTAAACTTTAGATTGCCTTGGACAGAGTAGAAGAGCCAACAGTGCTCCCTCCTGCATCTGCACTGGTTGAGAGAGAAGTTACTAAGAGCTAGAGGGCAGTAAATCCTTGAACCATTCCAAGACCATTGCATCTGCTTCCATAGATCAGAAAACCACTCAGAAATAATCTCATAATTTCTTCTGAAAACCATCACCTTTCAGATCAGCCCTTGGGGTTTATTCAAATCCCAGTTTCTCCACCTCAAACTTGGCAACAACTAGTAAAAAATCATTCTATTTTCTCAAATTCACTTGCACAACTTTAGCTAGGGCTGCTCCCAAAATATCACTGCCTGCCTCAGTATGAGGTCAAGGCATCCCACCCTCCCTACTTGACTGGCAGGTCCTCTGAAGCCTCCTGACAATGATCTGTGATCTGGCACTTCAGGCAGGTTCAGGACCTGTGTGAGACACGTAGCTGCCATCTGAACGTGCCCACAGATCCCTCCAGCAAACAGTGCACATCTGTGTGCACCTGAGCTCCAGCCTTGGCATTTGCCTTTAGAAGCACACCTCTATACCAGTAATGCCCACAGCTTTTGAAAATGGGATTTCAAATATTTGTTCCTGTTTCATAATGCAAGGATTTTTATTTAATCTTTGCTCTGTTTTGTTTGCATTATGTTTTTATGCAATGACACTGTAATCACAGGTGCAAACCAAGCTGAGTGCCACTACCTCCTTCTAGTCATTTCCATACCTGGAAACCATTAAACTACACAGATAAAGCTCTCTTCTCATGGATTTAAACTAAGTTATCATTATGTTTTTACATCTGTCCATACTACATTGTTTTTCCTGTTTACTCCAATTAATGAGCACTCCTTGCACTTACGAATCTGCAATGAGAATTAAAAAGCTGTTGTCCAGGCATAGGTTACTGTTAATTTTTATCTTCTATTACTCCATTCTACTCTTTTATTACTTTCTCAGCTTGGAAAAATTTCAAACTAAACACAAGCTGGAAGTCATTCAAAACCAAGTAGGAGACTGCAGCCACATCTTCTATTGTATAATGTGGAATAGTTTAATGCAGCCCTGAAAAGCAGATTTCCTAAACGCTTGTTAAATTATTTCCATAATTCAAAGGTGACAATGCTTTAATTTCAGGGTAATGCTACAGCTTTATGACTTCACAGTTTTATTTAATGGTCCAATTCACTAGGATATTATGCTGTCTGCATTTGGCCCTAGGAGATGTTTTTACAGCATGGGACTGCGATGCATTAAGTACATTTTAGACTCTCTGTTTAGCCTAGCCCATAGTTTTATCATCTTGCTGGAAACCTCCAAGTTGCTTTTGATGGCACACAAATTAAATTGTGGGAAATTAGAGCAGCTGGAAAACTGGCTTTCAATGAATTCTGTATTGTCTAATTCTCATTTTTATTCTTCAACTTGAAATATCCCTGTAGAGCATATTCCACCCATACAAATGGCATCATTCCTTTGTGATTTAGGAGGTTTGTCACAAAACAAGATTATTCAGACTGATTAAATTGCCAACAAGCC